CTCATATTTGATACGACTGTTTGTTTTATCGCCTTCTGAGTTCCTGTTTCTGCTTTTGCTTTGTTTGTCACAGCACTTTGTAAACTCTGTTTTTAAAGATGCTTTATAAATAAAGTTTTTATTATTATCATTATTATTATTATTATTATTAAACAGACAAAGTGTTCAGATTGTAGATGATATTTATTTCCATTAGAATCATCTGTGATAAACTGTGTCAATAAATGATGATGTCACTGCTGACAGGGGGGTTTGAACCTGTGACTTCCTGTGTACTTGTTGATGATGTCACACTGATCAGTAAACATGTCGTGGTGTTTGTTTGTTTGTTTGTTTGTTGCAGCGTTACAGCTTTTGATCCTGCAGCCTTCAAAGATTTCTCCTGGGGTGAGTCCACCTTAAAACCAGTAACCAGTCTGACTCTGATCTGATCCAGACTGGTCTGATACTGTCTGATCCAGACTGGTTTTGTTGTGGACCAGTATGACCAGTTTCAGTCTGTGTGTTTCAGAGTGTGGAGGGGACCCCGTTACTGACGCTCTTAAAGGATCCGTACATCCTGATCAGTGCAGGTAAGAAGACGTCTCCTCACTCTCACCTGTCTCTGCCACGTTAGTCTCAGCAGGACTCACCTGGTTACACACTGGTTAAATAAATAACCTGTCTGTCTGTCTGTCTGTCTGTCTGTCTGTGTCCATCTACAGGTTCTCTCTGTTTCGCCAACATGGGCGTGGCCATCCTGGAGCCGACGCTGCCCATCTGGATGATGCAGACCATGTGCTCCCCGAAATGGCAACTTGGTACGATCCACCGTCTGCCCTTCCTTTTTTACTTCCTTCCTTCCTGTCTTTCCTGCATGTTCCTCCTTCCCTTCCTTTCCTTCCTTCTGTTCTTCCTTCCTTCTTTATGGTCCTTTTTCTTTTCCTCCTTCTTCCTTATGTCCCGATGTTCCTTCCTCCTCTCTAACAGGTGTGTGTGTGTTACAGGTATAGCCTTCCTTCCTTCCTTCCTTCCTTCCTTCCTCCCTCCCTCCCTCCCTCCCTTCCTTCCTTCCTTCCTCCCTCCCCCTCCTCCTCTCTAACAGGTGTGTGTGTGTGTGTGTGTGTGTTACAGGTATGGCCTTCCTTCCTGCCAGTGTCTCCTACCTGATAGGAACAAACCTGTTTGGTGTTCTGGCCAACAAGATGGGACGGTCAGTGTGTGTGTGTGTGTGTGTGTGTGTGTGTGTGTGTGTGTGTTCAGACCTCGACAGTGAGGAGATTTTGTTGAGATGTTCAAAGGACTGTTTGAGGGTTCGGGACTGTCAGTTAGAGTCCTCACAAGTATAGAGGCAGAGGTGTGTGTGTGTGTGTGTGTGTGTGTGTTCTCAGAGGAAGACGTTCAGTCAGCAGATTAACAGATTAACTTTTCTGGAAACTCTGAGTCCTGTTCAGACCTGAACCTGAAGACTGCTGGGAAACCTGTAGCTGTAGGACAGACAGACAGACAGGCAGACAGACAGACAGGCAGACAGGCAGACAGACACACAGACAGGCAGACAGACACACAGACAGACGGACGGACGGACGGACGGACGGACGGACGGATGGACGGACAGGTAACTGATGGGTGTCTCTGTGTCTCCAGGTGGCTCTGCTCCATGTTAGGGATGTTTATTGTTGGCATCAGTCTGCTGTGTGTAAGTATGACATCATTCATTCACTCATGTATTCATTCATTCATTCATCACTGATCCATCCAACCAGTCACTGTGGTTTATGATGTTGCAGTTACACAAGAAATCTTTTCATAAATGTCATAAACACTCATTTACAGAGACACTGTCCTTGTCACAGTGGCCGCAGGTTCAATTCCAGCCTATGGCCCTTTGCTGCATGTCATCCCCTGTCTCTACCCCCAGTCTGAAAAAAAAGACAAAACAAAACAAAACAAAACAAAACACATTAGCCCCGTCTCCACCAAACCCTTCCAGTCCAGCACCTTTGGAACCAGCAGTAAGCCTTCAGACATGGTACCTAGACCCTCGGTCTGTTCAGACAGTCCTCTTAAATGTGGGCGGGGTTGTTGTCACTCACTGCTCCGTCCAGCACTCGCTGTATTTCCTCATCAGCGGTGACACAGATGGAAGTCTGCACCTGGTTTATCGTCCACAGAACGAGGCTGCACGCCCACATTTTCACAACAAAATAGAACAGGCTGCAGTGAGAGTCTCTCTCCATGGGATATTTAAAAATAGCAGCTTTGTGCATTTAGTCCTTCTCAGGCAAGCTCAGGGGTTTAGTGTTGCTGTAGCCCACAGGAAGTGAGGATTAGAATATATGACCTTCACATAATCCGCTCCAAATTAATCTATATTTTTAAAGTCATTACTAAAAGTGTGTGTCATATAAAAACTAAAGTGATGGTCAAAGTTGTCACAGTGAAATTTAAGGTGTGCTGATGGATTCACGTCATCAACTCATGCATTGAGTAACATTACAAGTTAACGTTCCACCTTAAAAGTTGCCGGCAGTCGGCCCAGTGAATGAAGTTATTTTTTTCTCTTTCATTTTATAGTTGTAGTTTACTGATGTATGAACAGAGGTTACATAAAACCAGAAAAACCACTGCACCTTTAACCAGGACAACCAGCAACATTATATGGTACTGTGTGTGTGTGTGTGTGTGTGTGTGTGTGTGTGTGTGTGTGTGTCACACAGGTTCCTTTTGCCACCAGTATCTATGGTCTGATTGGACCAAATGGAGGTCTGGGCTTCGCTATAGGTGATTATGTCATTACCTCACTGACTCTCTCTCTCTACTCACTATTAACGGTGTTTTTAGGTGAAGTGACGCAGACAAATTATTTGATGTTTTATTATATAAACTGTGAAACTATCATCCTGATCATTTACAGATGTTAAAAACTGTTGACTCGGATGATTTTTGTCCGTCAGGTATGGTGGACTCCTCCATGATGGCCATCATGGGTTACCTGGTCGATATCCGTCACGCCTCTGTCTACGGCAGTGTCTATGCCATCGCTGATGTGGCGCTGTGTATGGGGTTCGCTATCGGTAACACTCACATTAAAACAATTTAAAAAGTATAATTTTAGGAAAGTGAAATAATGATGCTGTGATCTTGAGATTATAAGATTATCATTACAAATCTTTCTCTGTGTATCTGCACATGTTTCTGTCTTTGTGTCGCTGCAACTCTGGAACAATAAAGACTTATCTTATTGTATGTGTTGTTCCAGGTCCGTCCACAGGGGGCGCTCTAGTCCAGGCAGTGGGGTTCCCCTGTCTCATGGTGTTCATTGGAGTGATCAACATCCTGTATGCTCCGCTCTGCCTCCTGTTACGTAACCCTGCCGTCAGAGAGGAGAAGATGGTAAATACACATCTGAGAACACGACAGACCAGGTCACGCTGGGTGGTGACACTAGTGTGATACATAAGTGGCTCGTTACCATGGTTACTGAGAATTCTAGATTCTGATTGGCTGGCAGGTGTCCATATATTTCTAGTAACCGGGCAGTTTAACCAAGCAACAACATCAGAGGCTGAAACACGAAGCTGAAGTGTCAAAACCTGCAGTTCCTCTAATGTCCACTAGAGGCTGGCTCCAGGAGTGAGTCAGTCCCCACTGACCTCCATGTTCACACATAGAAATAAACATGTTTACAGCCTGGCACAAAAACACTTTGATCTCTGTAGTTAATTTCAACATTCATGACGCCTGTACAGCAGTGTTAATTATGACAGCTATTTTAGATTTAGTCTCAGTCTTGGGACAAAAATGTTTCTTAGTTTTAGTTATTTTTGTCCTTCATAGTTTTAACCGACGAAAATTCAAAATGTCTTTGTTGACAAAAATTCAAACATTTTAGTCTACAAAACGCTTTAGTCAGTGAAAATTCCAAACATTTCAGTCGATGAAAGTTCAAAATGATTCAGTCAATGACTAAAAGCACGACCATTCTCAGCGTTCAGTGTCCAAAAGTCCACCATGAACATTTTCATCACATCTCGTCAACAAAAATGAAACCTGGATTTTGTCTTAGTTTTTATTATCAAGATCTATTTTTAGCTCGTCTCATTTTTGTCATGGAAAAAAAAAGGTTGTTGGTCGTTGATAAAAAAATTGTCGTCATAGATTGTATCAACGAAATTAACACCGTTTCACGGAGGCTGAATTTATATATACATATATATATATATATATATATGTGTGTGTGTATATACATATATACA